CCTTCCCTGCCTCAAGGAGTGGTCTCCGGCTACGCCACGCGGCGCCTGGGGCTCCGTCAGCTCTCTGCTCCTGCCAGCACCCGTCCCCGCAGGTCCCCGGGGCAGCCGGGGGTTTAAGAGATCGCGAGGGTCCCTCTTTCTGGTGGCTTTACATCGCTGGGCTGACGTATGGAGCCCCAGGGCGATGGTGTGCTTGTGCCTGGCTTTGCTCGCACAGGGCTGCGGTTCTGGGGAGCCGTGAGGAGGCTGGAAGCTGTCCGTGGGGTAGCGGATGGGGCTTCGCAGCCGCACACGAAGCAGAAGAGGAGTTGCACTTCGCATCGCCCCAGGGACGGCCAAGGGGGGTTAAATACGTTTGGGGAGATTGGAGTGAGATGCAGTCAGAAATCAGAGGGCAGCAAAGCTGGGCCCATCCCGGCCGGGGGGGGGGGTTGGGTTTGCAATGGGGGGGAGAAGCCTTTTCCCATGGAAGGGCAGCAAACGCTGCGGGGCCGTTCGCAGGCGCTGCCTGGAGGGATGGCATGGACAGCAAGCGGGCTCAGCGAGCCCAGGCCTCCCGAGCGTTTCCTTTCCCGACGCTGCAGTCGCTCCTGCCCTGACTTGGCTTTGAGACGACTTCTCGCCTCCGCCTCCTCGTTTGCTTTGCACGGCTTTAAACGCCATGAAATCAAGGCAGCGTAGCGGCGGGGCTGGGGGGAGGCTGCCGAGGCGCAAACTCCAATGCGGCTCTGCCTTGTTTATTAAAAATGCATCCCTCCTGCGGCTGCTGTTCCTAAGCGCTTCCCCGCGCTTTGAAGGGTGCTGGCTCTGGAAATGGAATGGGAGGCTTGACAGGCGGAGAGCGATGGCGTGGCGCGGCGGCTCGCTTCGGGAGCGGCTCCCAGGGGACCGGGCTCTTTTGGTTTTATAACTGAGTGTCAGTCATCAGAGACGCCGGCACGCGGCTGAGGGCTCCTCTTCGTAGATGAACGCGATTAAGTAAGAGCCCGATCAGGTTTTGAACTCCCCTTGCTGCAGGGCTGTGGCTGCGGCAGCTTCCTGCACGTTTAGAAT